AATAGTTGTAATAAAACAATCTTACCAATATCCATTGTTATGATAGCGATAAAAATCCAAAATGTGCATATTGGATTAGGAATGAATAATAGCGCAATGATAACTAATACAGCAACCGCAATACAATCATTGAATAATGTATTTGGTAAAATAATATTTAACTGTAAGAAAATGAAACAAAAAGTTAGTTAGAAAGTAAGTCGGAAAGTGAATCAGAAAGTAAGTCAAAAAGTGAATCAGGAAGCAAGTCAAAAAATGAATCAGAAAGTAAATCAAAAAGTGAGTCAGAAAATAAGTGAAAAAGTGAATGAGAAAATAAATGAAAAAGTTAACCAGAAAATAAATGAAAAAGTGAGTCAGAAAATAAGTGAAAAAGTGAATAAGAAAGTAAGTGAAAAAATGGGTCAAAAAGTAAGTCAAAAAGCGGATGAGAAAGTGAATCAAAAAGTGAATCAAAAAACACGTCAAAAAATGAGTCAGAAAAAAAGTCAAAAAGTGAATCAGGGAACAAGTGAGAAAGTGGGTCAGGAAGTAAGTCTGAAAGTAATTCGAAAAGAAGATGAGAAAGTAATTCGTGGAAGTAAAGTAATTCCGAAAAAAAAAAGTAATTCCGAAAAAAAAAGTAATTCCGAAAGTAAGTCAACGAAAATAATTCAAAAAATAGATCAGAAAATAAACCCTTTTTTTTTAAAAAAAATCATTAAAACTAAGCATTAATTATTTTTTTCGCCATTTTTTTCGGATTTTTTTCACCAAAATTTAATCGTTTTCAAAAAATTTTGCAGAAATGAAAAAAAAATGATTTCAAAAAAAAAAAACTACTGTTTGAAAGATAAAAAGGTCAAAAGGTTACGATCGATCATAAAATTATCACACCATACAAAATAATATGCATAATTATTAATTCAAAAGGTTTTGGAAAATTAAAAATAAATTCCTAAAATGAAAAACACAATCAATTAAACCTGATCAGCAATCATTCGGCTATATTCATACGTGTAAATTTCCATATCCGGATATTTTGCAGCAATTGCACGAAGAGCACGTGATTCCGTTACCAAATCACTTGGACTATTGAGTGCTGATAAGCCGATACGAAATCGAAATGATTTCATTGTTAAATTTTCCGGATCATTCTCATTTTCCCATACAAAATCTTGTGCCCTAAAATACATTTTCCGGAAATTTGTTCAAATACTGTATCGGAAAAATATTGCATCCTGAAAAAAGAGGGATTTTTATGGAAAAAGCTATTGCTTAAATGTTACAAATAATAGAAAAGTGGCAAAAAAAAAAATTTCAACAAATAAATTTCAATTTATAAAATTTCAAGAATTATGAAAATTTTTGAAAAATGGCAAAATGTAAAATTATAAAATAAATTTGAATTTTTCATATAACTATAATTACTTCGAGTGAACAATTATGGATAAGGAATTAGAGGGAGGAAAACTAAGGGTCAAAAAGGTTAAAAGTTCAAATTAACAACAAACAATGGAATCCATCACAATATAATTGTATGCTAAACGGGAGTTTTTTTTTCTTTCCTTTCTTTTTTGCATAATTTACTATCTAAAATGCTAATTTATCAGTACAAAAATGAAGGGAATGAAAAAAATTTTGCATAAATTTGATTTACTTACCATAATTTATAGAATGCAAAAAGTTGTGACCATCGATAAACACCTTCAACCCAGGATTCATGATCATTTTGTAGGTATGCACCCGTGATATTTGCATATTTCTGATATTCCCGAGTCCAAACTTGTGTTGCTTTAGGACCAATCCCAAAAATCATATGCTCAAAATCCTGAACCATTTGCTCCACACGTTTACGATTCATTGGTTTTGTCATATCAGGCGCTTTGACGATTGCTATATTAATCTGTGAAATATATGTAATAATAAGCATTAATTCATTAATTTTAATGAATTATTTGCATTAATTAAATGTAAAGTTTATAAAAGTTAACAAAGTATTTCATTGATAATGATTAGCAAAAGTTAACAAAGTATTTCATTGATAATGATTAGCAAAAGTTAACAAAGTATTTCATTGATAATGATTAGCAAAAGTTAACAAAGTATTTCATTGATAATGATTAGCAAGAGTTAACAAAGTATTTCATTGATAATGATTAGCAAAAGTTAACAAAGTATTTCATTGAT